GGTGCTTGAGGGTTTTAGGAGGGTTGCGCACCCTTAGTAGCGCACCTGTTTGACGTGCACTTGACTGCCGCAGGTACATTTTGATTTTTTACCCTAGAAATTATGATTTCTTTCGTTTGGTTGGGGTGGAACATATGTTTGAAATTGATTTTCTGTGGTTTTCAATACAATTATTCTTATATTATAAATGTTGTTGAAATTATATAATTATCCTATTTCTATGAAAGCGAATACTTGGGATGTTTTGTTTTCAATAATTTATTTACATTGTTGTTTATAAATGAAGGGCACAGGGAAAAAACTTTATAAGCGCCAATTTCTTAATTTTAGGAATTTACAATTTTATAGTAGGTCTAACTGGTCCCTATAAAATGTATAAACTCAGCAGGGAAATAAGTTGTTAAATCCTTTGATATATGCCTAATAAAAATATAGAATAAACGGAAAGAACTTGATAACCACCAGCCGTCAACAACAACAACAATATAAGTAACAGGGTCTACTGATGTATCACCATATGATATAAGACGAGATATTTTTTCCCGACACCAGCCGTCAACAACAACAACATTATAAGTAACATAACTATGATATAAGACGAGATATTTTTTCCAAATAGTAAATACCGAGATATGGATTTTTCTTCCTAATAATAAGGAGAAAATAGAAAACTGTAGTCTATAAAATGAATAACTTTGAATTTTGACCGTTATTTTTTACCAACATGGCAAATATAAAATCCCTCTGTCAAAAAAGTTACTGATAATCTTTAAGTATTCTTTAAATTGAGTGCCTGAACGAATCAGATAGGTAACTCTTTTTACTTTCGTGAAATAGAAAAGGAAACTAATAAAACAAGTGACAGTTCTTCCTCTTCTTGCAAAAATCAACACGAAATGGCATAATTGTCAAAAGTAAAATGTCATCAGCTTTTGACATTTCTAAATATCAGACCAATGCCGTCTCTAATAGAACAGCCTCGGAGCGAGATTTATGACGTCACGCTAATTAGTTACGGATTAATAAATATGTTGTAGAATACATGGAAAACATACTTATGCCTTGTATTTTTGGTTTGTATTTTAAAAATGATATAGTTTACATGAAATATACATAATATACAGTTAATAAATATAATATATACCTATTTATAGTAATAAATACTTTGGCAAATAAACTATGAACAATACAAATGCAGCAAATGTTTTACAATATACAAATAATGAATAGGTACATAAGATAATGGGTAAAATGTAAAATATATTTTAAATGTTGGGGTTTGAAAATCGATCTAATTTAAAAAAAACATTCAATATATACTAATAGTGATGTATTATTATTTGCATTCACAAAATTTATATGTACATATATTTTGCAAGTATCAATATTCGAAAAATTATATTTGCAAATAATACAATATCATAGAAAAAAATGCGATGAAATAAAGATCGCTGTCATTTTATAATGTAACATTATTCTAAAATTTTTGATTTTCTTGGGATTTAGGTTCGGGAAAAACGCTGATTTAAGTTTTCATTTGGGTTTTCATTCATTTTTGCGGTACCTCCTATATTTTACCTAATAATCGACCGTTTCCATACATAAAAGCGACCCTGTATAATTAGGAATAATTAAACAACTATATGGCCGAACAAAAACATTTGCAATTTTGAAGAACCTTCTCCAAGAAAACATGGATATAAAAAATTATTTATAATAGCTTATTTGCTACAAATTAAGCAACTATTAAGAAAATTCAGCTATGAAGAAACTTCAAAACTTCTTACTATGACTTATTACTATGAACTTATTACTACGTGACAAAATAAATTAAATTTGACTTGGAAATAGAAATTATTTTTTTCTTTTTATTAGTGTGTATTCTCATTGAGAATTCTCTCATTTAAAAACTTATTTAGCAAAACATGAAATTAAACCTTTTGAAAGAAAGGAGAATAGGGAGAGTGGGGTTAAGTGTAAAATTTTACCTTTTAAAAAGGGTTGCTTTCGCCCTTGACGATGGGGTGTCCCTCGCTACAATTTCAAGAATATAGAGTCAAAAACAACGTGAGAATCTGTTTTAAAGATTCATGATCTCAATTAAAATCCGAAGGGGTTGAAGTAACGGTAGGAATTGTAAAGCAGGAACGTACTTGACTATTTTCTAAAAAAATATTAAGTGCTATTGGAAGAACTAACACATCTCATACTTTCTTAAAAAAAATACTACTGATTGGTTTACTTGTATTTCTACTGGTCTATTTTATATTAATTAATTAATATTTATTAATAATGAAGCATCTATTAATACAATAATTTGTTTAGTTTTCTGTAATTTTTTATAGAAAATTAGTTAAATACATATTTCATTTATTTACACAATTATCATTTCTTAAAATATTATATTAATATTGTTAACTACTCTACTAGTGAATAAAGGATACTATAAGGTATGTGCTATAAAAAATAAAGTATCGTTCAGGATTAATTATGCCGTCTAGAAATACTTGCAAGTCCGTACGCCCGCCCGCCCATTTAAAGTTATACCTCCTTATACCATCGTACATAAAACTCATGTATGTACAGTGCTTATACCATGACGGTACCTCTACCAAAATGAATCGTTTCTCGTTGTGCCAGATACCGTTTATTGGGTCTTCTGTAAACTCTCCGCCGGCAATTGTTATGTCAAAAACAGGACTCTACTAACATTAAAATTCGCTATATTTAACACCAATTTTGACGATCAATTAGGCAAAATAACACTAAATAAGAAATTGATTATAGAATTTATGCGTTTTCGAGTTCATCTTTAGTGACAGGAAATAATTTCGTTTTTGTATCAATTCATGCATGCAAATAAACGAAATTGTTCTAATGATACGCTGCTATAAATATACGGAGATCGGTCTATAAATATAATACAATTAGATACACAATAGAGATACACATATATATGTGATCCCTAATTCGTTTTGATTAGTTTAGTATGCAAGTAAAATCTACTAAATACGACTCTGTGCGACAAAGTTCTCTTCTTTGGAGATTCTGCAGCCTTATTCCGTCGCTTAGCGATTCCCTTTATTGCGCAGTTGAAGGAGCAAATTTTGATTGTTATTATGGAAATTATATCTTAAATTAAAATGCTTTAATCAATGTTGCCTTTGCTTCATCTTTACGACGTTTCGAGCAAGATAAATCGTCAGTCTCGCCGGCAGACGAGTTCAGGGAATATTTCAGAGGAGTTATTAGGAGTTGTTGCCTTGTTTAAAGAGCACAGTTTGGAATTAAGATCTCAATCTTTTTGTCTTCTTCATTGCTACAAATTTCTTGGAATATAACTTATAAAAAAATCGATTATTTATTTCATATGTCAAAATACCAAACATCAAACTCAACAGATACAATTGTTTACTTTTTTCCTTTATCGGCCATTATTCTTTCCTTATTTTCCCATCTCTCTACACCGAAAACATTTGCCAGATTTACCTGTATATTGGTATTAGTATTCGATTAAATACCACAACCAATTATGAAGTAATAAATAATTTCGTTATATTTCTATAATATATCAAGTACATTAATTTGCTAACGTCAATTTTTTAATTTAATTTTTTTTAATTTAATTTTTGCTTAACTGCTAACTATTTTAAATTTTATAATGGAATACAAATATCATAGTCGTGTTTCTTTCAATAATAAAAAGCAGTTTGGCAACATCAGTTTTAGAAATATGCCGGCGTAGTACAACGGATTTCGAGGACGAATGAAAATTCCTAGATTCTACTGTTGCGAGGTTGCTATTCCGCCGTTGAAGCTCCGTATTCTTTATTTGCAGTATTAGTATTTTTGCGTTATTTTGTGGACTGTGGACATTAATTTGAAAATATGGTGCGGTCATGTATTGTGGACAAGAGAGTGTATCATTTAAATCCAAATTTGCAGAACTACGATATAAATAATTTTTAACATTTCTTTCATTATGAAGATGAAGGGGAGCGTCATAATTAAAGTCATGTTGGAACCCCTCTATTGATGCGCGTCTCTAAATTTACCTTTTCTAACATGTATTGAAACGTTCACCGGTCAGCGTATCTTCTAAAATGTAGGACCAAGAAAAGTTAAACCAATAATCCCACACGCTTTTCTTTATTTAAAAAATTCATACTTACAATTTAGATGCCTTTCGATAGGATATTTTTGTTTGGATGTGATAGTACGGTATGATCGAAAAAAAAAACAGCGTCCAGTTGGCGGGGAAATGACGATCGATGACATTTCCTATGTAAATTTACATATAAAATGACTGATCTTTATTTGACAGCCATCGCATACGGTACTTGTTCCCACGGTAATTTTTCAAAAAAAATATATAGCTTATATCGCTGAAAAGTTTAAAAATGGTTTGCATTTAAAAAAAACATATGTTTATGTCATATGTCAAAAATGACAGGCTTTAGAAAAACAAATGAGAACACAGTTAAAGAAATGAGAACACAACATTAAGGAAGTGATTATCTACAACTTTTATCTGAAAGCTTTTTGTCTAAAACAGATTATAATGGAATTAGGGAGCATTTTTAAAATAGCCGAAATTCGTTATTTTCCAAATATTTAGTAAGCTTTTTCAAAAATCCTAAATGCGCATATTTATGACCCCACAAAACTGCAATTCATTTCCCATTTAACCGACTCTCTAGATCCAATAGTTTCCGACCCACAGAGAAAATCGTAGAAAACTCACCCTGTATAAAGACTGACGAATAAAGGATATTAGAGTAACTCAAAAGAGGTGCTGGTCAGTTTAGTATTAATAAAATTATTACATAGTACTTACTTGTTAATTATAAATATTATTTGTGGGAAAAGGATAAGAGATAAAAAAACAAGAAAGAAAACTTTCAACTAAAGGCAAAAAAATCAAAATTAAAAAATTGTGACAATTATTAAAACAAAACCTAAAATTGTATGAATTTATTCTATGTTATTTTGTTTTTTGTTTAATTTGTGCTGCATTTGTGCATTGCCAGTTCAGCCTCTGCCTCGGCCTTCTTTTGTGCTGCAATAACTGTCAGTCGTTGCTCCTCTGCTATTCGCATTCTTAAAATGTGCACTTCTCTTTCTTGCTCTAGACGTTTTTCCATCGTCTGCACACGTAGGTTAATTTCTTTTGTCACCAACCCTAACATTTCTTTTGCCCCGTAAAAAGTTATTGTTAATTAATACAGATAGGAATATATTGTATATTATACAACAGGGTTGTCCGAAATGTATTCCGGAAACTTCTGCAGCATATTATGCAGATAAAAATAAATATAATGTATGTCCTAAAATGCTTAGTTTCGGAGATACAGGGTGTAGAAGTTTCATTTGTATTTCGGGGTTTTCCAAATAATTTATGAAATAACGTCAATATTTGGATGAAAATTGATGTCTGGGAGTTTTTTGACATGAGAAATTTGATTTTGTTGTCAATATGACTCCTATTTGTAGGGGGCGCCACCTATGTGTGTTTTAACTGTTTCGAAGAGTGATAACTTTTCGACCGTACCTGTATAAAAATACTAAGTGAAAAAAATTGTGTCCGTGATTTTTACGTAAAAAATGTCTCCTGGTAGAAATCGCTACGAGCAACCGTTTCTCAAGGTATTTATAATGGAAATAGTCAATCCATGTCATTATTGACAAAAAATAAACATGCGTTGAGTAGATAGTTATTTGACTGAAATGACAAATTTTTATTTGGGAACTTCTTATTTTTACAGTTTCTGTTGAACTTTTGACCCAAAGACATTTCAAATTTATGATTTCAGTTTAATAACGGACTTTTTTTTTGAAAAATTGATTAAAAAAAGGCTTCTATCTTTTCTCCTTAAATATAAAGTACCTACTTTCTACCCATCAATTTGGATTTCTAAGTAACAGTTGCACAAATGATACTATGTATACTCTCACCTGAATAACCATCACTATACAGCTACAATTTTCTGTGATTTCTCTAAGGTTTTCGACTGTGTAAATCATAATATCTTAATTAACAAATTGCAATACTATGGATTCAGGGATATGCCGCTCGAATGGCTTAAATCGTATCTTGGCAACAGAAGGCAGCTTGTCAGGATTGATACGTCTATGTCTTCTTGTAAGCCTATAGAATGTGGTGTCCCTCAGGGTTCAGTACTTGGCCCTATTTTGTTTCTGGTGTTTATCAACGACATTGCAAATCTAGACATTAGCGGTAAAATCTGCCTCTTTGCGGACGATACTAGTTTCACTTGGAACAGCCCAGATGTTACGGCACTATATAATACCATTAAATCTTGGTGCGATTCTAATCTCCTATGACTCAACCTTTCAAAAACTAAAGTTTTGTCATATAAAACTACTGTACAACCTTTTGTACTTAATAACACCACTATTGACGTCGTGGACTCTGTGAGATTCTTAGGACTTAACTCGTTAAAATTGGACTTGCACATCGAAGCTTTATCAAAGAAACTAAGCGCTACCTGTTTTGCGCTAAAATCAGTTTCTAAGGAACTTAACTCATCAACCTCTAGAATGGTCTAGTATGCTCTTTTTGAGTCGCATCTTCGTTATGCCCTTCCATTCTGGGGTTTGGTTTTGCTGCGCCACAAAATTTGATCGTATTTTCAAACTTCAACAGAGAGCAGTTCGATACTTATTGGGACTAAACAGTAGAACTCAGTGCCAGAATTTCTTTAAAAATTTCAAAATACTGACTCTTCCTTCCTTATTTATTTTTGAATCGGTTTGCTTAATCCACAAGCACATATCTGCTATTCCGGAAAGGCCTTCTCACAACTATCCACTTAGGAATGGTCGTTAAGGGCTCAATACTGTACAATGCCAAGAAAATGTACAATCATTTGCCTTCGAATATCAAGTCACTTTCATTATTTCCCGCATTTTGCAAAGCTCTGAAATCATACTTACTGGAGAGAGCCCTATATGCGGTAAACGACTTTTTTGTTGATGTTTAATCATCAACAATTTTGATTATCTCACACACTGGTTAAAGGTCTAGTATTTAATATTTTATAACTCTTGATTTTATGATATATAACATGATTTTATCCATTTACAGTTTTCCTTGTGTAAAATTTTCTAGATACGCCTGTGTTCTGTAATGTCCATGTATGTTTTATTTGTAATTTTAATGACGTAAATTTTTTTGAATTGATTTGTATTGTATGCCTTTTTTTATTATTTGTATATTTGTTTTTAATATTTGTATATTTGTTTTTGTGCTTTTTTGTTTTGTGAATGCTTTGTCGATGAAGCTGTTTTGGCTTTTTGTACAATAAAGCGTTGTTTTTGTAACTACCTATTTAGTCAACATGTTGTTTATTTTCGGTTCCAAATATCTCGAGAACCATTACTCGTAGCGATTTTTACCAAGAGACCGTTTTTACGTAAAAAACATAAAAGTAAGTAAATTAATATTTTCTTACTCAGTAGTTTTATACAAATATGGACGAAAACATATTACTCTCTAAACCAGTTAAAATTATGTAGCTGGCGCCCTCTATTAGTAGGAGTCATAGTTTTTGAAGACAGTGAAACAACAATTTTCATCCAAATATTGACGTTACTTCAGAAATTATTTAGAAACAATCGAAATAAAAATGAAACTTCTGCACCCTGTATCTCCGAACCTAAGCATATTAGGACATACATTTATACGGACTTTTTTACTTATTTTATCTGCAGAATATGCTGCCAAAGTTCCCGAAATACAGTTCTGACCACTCTGTATATTTACCAGTTACTCTAGAGCAGTGTTTGGAGGTAATTCCACTTTCAGTTTTAACTACCGCTGTAGGGTTTGTCATGGTGGTGGTAGTCTTTGGTGCATCGTCTGTATATTTTGCTGTGTTGCCTATGCCTAATAAAAATATATTAAATCAAAATTGAGCCACGTACAGTTTATTTTTCTATTACCAGAAGTGGATGGATGACATTCTTTTGGTTCATTGTCTACAACTACATGATGGTCTACAATGAAAATAAATCTAAACAGATAAATACATTACAAGCAAAGCTGCAAGCTCACAGAAAACTTAATAATTCTTTTTTTGATTTATATCATTTGATTTTAAGTCATTTTTCGAAAGCTGGCTTAAGACTTAAAGTTTAAGTAATTTTGAAAATGGTTTGTGCTTTAAATTTTTATTCCGAAATAAAAAAAGAATAATGTTTAAAAAAATCAAACTCTTGTGCCAATCAAACAATAAAATGTGTTTGTAGTTATTCTGAAAATTAATAATAATTGCTCCCGTATATAGCGTTTAACGCCTTGGGAGTAGCAAGGTACAACTTGCTATACTAGAGCCGTTCGGTATACAAGGAAGGTAATGTGGCTAGCACTACGCTTCAACCGCCTATTATTACCTCAGGATTGTGAATCCCAAGTACTCATTTAAGACTGAGTCGACCTAGGTACCCAAACTATTTTTATTTTAATAAAAATAGTCGGCTGATCAAATGCCGGGTGTGGGAATCGAACCCACACCTTGAGATTGGTAGACGAGAGCCTGTGCCTCTACGCCACCAGGCACCTTATTCTGAAAATTAACTTTTTATTTTATGTGGTTTTAGTCCCGTTTGTACCTAAAATTAATAATATATCGGCAATCAGCATATACGCAACGGGAACTCGAGATGGATCTCATAAAAATGGAGTGGCTATAATAATAAGCAAATCTTTAGGTAACTCTGTACGAAATTTTGTGCCGTTTTCGGACAGAGTAATGCTACTACAGCTAGCGATGAAACCTGTAAATATTAACATTGTACAGGTTTATGCCCCCACCACTGATCATGACGATGGAGAAGTTGAAATGTTTTATCAGCACATCAAAGAGGTATTAAAAGCGACAAAAAAGGACGAAATCACTTTAATCATGGGAGATTGGAATGCAAAGGTAGGCAGGGAAACAACAGAAGACGTCAGCGGACAATACGGCTTAGGCGTACGCAATGCCAGAGGAAATCGACTTGTACAGTTTTGTCAGGAAGAAGAATATATCATTACGAATACATGGTATAAATTACCATACCGAAGATTGTATACATGGACATCACCCCAACACACGCAGGAAAACGTTGTAAGAAATCAGATCGATTATATATTAATCAACCGGCGCTTCTGCAACTGTATTAAATCAACAAAAACTTATCCTGGAGTAGATGTGCACTCAGACCATAACTTACTTTGCTCAAAACCAAACATAAGGCTTAAAAAGAATAGCATACCGATTAAAAGATCACGAATGCAACAGGAGATATTAAAGGAACCTGAATTTCTAAAGAACCTATCACAGGAAGTGAATGGCAACATGCACACAATTGTAACACCACTTGAAAACAAAAGCGTTGAAGACAATTGGCAGGATATCAAAGTTTCACTAAGAACTCAAAATATAGATGAAATGATTAAACCCAAAAAAACAAAAGCACGAAAGAAGTGGATGACGCAAGAAATATTAGGCCCCATGGAAGAAAGAAGAAAATATAAAAACAACGATCATGTCCAGTACTTACGAACGCATCGGGTAATTCGCAAAAAGATTAAAGAAGCAAAAGAAACATGGCTTCAGGAATCCTGTAAAGAAATAGAACGCCTTCAAAGCTTACACGATGATTTTAACTTACATAAAAAGCTGAAAGAAATCTCTGGTGTACAGAAGAGAAAATTGGTATCAGTACTGCACAACGCTAGTGGACAAGTATTAATGACAAATGAAGACCGGCAACGACACATACAACAACTATTTGATGACGATACTCGGGAAGCTCCAGAGATACTATTGGCAGATTATGAAGCAGAATGTGGTCCAAGTATACTCAAATCGGAAGTGGAAAAAGCCATACAACAGGCAAAAACAAACAAGACTCCCGGACCAGACGAAATACCCGCGGAACTAATAAAACTTCTCGACAATGACAGTATATCTGTCTTGACAGCATTCTTTAACCAGGTTTACCAAAGTGGAAAATTACCTGGCGACTGGCAGAGATCGAAATTTATTGCTTTACCCAAGAATACCAAAGCGAGTAAATGTGATGGCTTCACATTCAGGCTTATTAGTCTGATGAGCCACATGTTAAAAATACTTTTAAAAATAATCCTCAACCGAATATATGCTAAATGTGAACAGAGCATCGGAAAAGAGCAGTTTGGATTTCGTAGCGGACTAGGCACACGTGAAGCCCTGTTTTGCATGAGGCTATTGTTGCAAAAGTGCAGCGAATCTCGCAAGAACATCTATGTGTGCTTCATCGACTTTGAAAAAGCATTTGATCGAGTCAGACATACAGAGCTCTTTCGGCATCTGAAATTGTATAACGTAGACAACTATGACATGGGCCTTTTAGTAAACTTGTACTACGATCAAACTGCTGCTGTTAGGGTCGATGAAGAAACTACAAATGACATCCCAATAAAACGAGGAGTAAGACAGGGGTGTGTTTTGTCACCGTTATTATTCAATTTGTATTCGGAGAACATCTTTAACGAGGCTTTATCCGGCAGAATAGAAGGCGTTAAAATTGGAGGCGAGATCATAAATAACGTAAGGTACGCAGAACGCCATTGTCGCAGAAAGCATGGAAGACTTGCAAACGTTGCTAGATAGGGTTCATGAAGCTAGTTGCAAATGGGGTATTAATATAAATATCAAGAAGACGAAATGGATGTTTGTGGGTAAAATACAAATTAATCCAATCCTGATAAAAATCAACGGACACAATATTGAACAAGTACCACATTTTAGATATTTAGGAAGCTGGCTAAATAGTGAAAATACATGTGACGAAGAAGTAAAGGCAAGAATTGAAATGGCACGTAGAACATTCAAAAAATGGAATACCACGCTCACTAATAGAAATCTGTCACTGCAAACCCGATTGCGAACACTACGTTGGTACATATGGTCCACTCTTCTTTACGGATGTGAGACATGGACGCTAAAAGTCGAGAATATAAATAAAATAGAAGCCTTTGAAATGTGGTGCTACCGGAGAATTCTTAAAATTTCTTGGACCGAACATATAAGCAACGAGGAAGTTCTTGGACAGCTGAACAAAGATCGGAACTGTTAACCACCATCAAGGCCAGAAAGGTGAGCTACTTCGGACACATAATGCGTGGCACCAAATATTATATTCCTCGTTTGATTATTCAAGGAAAAGTCGAAGGTAGAAGATGGGTAGGTCGAAAGAAACTGTCATGGCTCAGAAATATACGGAACTGGACCGGTCTGGGGGTGGAGAGGCTATTTCATGCAGCAGAAGATAGAGAACTCTTCCACGAAATAGTCATGGAGATCGCCAACGCCTGAAGACAGGCACGGCACCGCAAGAAGAAGAATCAGCATTGCAAAAAAATTATATTAAAATTATAACTACATACTTAAGTTACATTTTGGTTGTCTTGACTTGACGGTAATTATTTTAAATTAAAGTCATTTTGACTTAAATCGCAGATAATCATGATTTGATTTATTTAAATCATGATAAAATATAGATTTAAATGATAAAAACGATTTAAATTACATTATAATGATTTAGGTTTTTACGACAATTACTTGACTTGTATGAAAATGATTTAAGTCAAAGACTTAAAATTTAAGTCTTTTTGAAACTGACTTGTTGCAGCTCCGATTATAAATAATAAGTGTAAGTAGTTTACAGAATACTATTAGTACTTAAGGAAATTGTGTAACAAACATACATTGTATTTCACTATCTGAGACTAATGGAGGCACTTCACCATAGGTTGATTCATAGACTCCTGTCGAATCCCATGGACAAGGCAATATCAGGTGTGCATGTGGTGCTGCGATGCTCACAGCCTCCATTACAGGATCCCCTTGGTCTGAAGGTTCAGGACCTCCACCAGTTAGGAGTCGCTGATGCCGTAGTTCAGTTGTAGCTTTCCTTTTCAAACGACATAAATTTTGTGTTTATAATTATTGTGTTAATAGTATTGTAAATTACAACTTTTTACAAAAAGAAAACGATTTTTTTGAACAATTTTAACATGACAAAATATACAACGTCTAATAAATAATTTACAGGGTGTTTCAAAAAACATGTGCCATCTCTCATAACGAGATTTCTCACGTAAAAATAAGATTTATTTTTTATATCAACATAGGTCCGATTCTGCTTTGTTTCGCAGCTACACGGGGTTCAAGTCTTAATTTTTTTAGATTTATTATAATTTTCATCCAAGTCCTTTTCGTGATTCGAATGAAATTTTGAGGATAAAAGTTACTATAGGTGCTACATATTTTAATGCTAAAAAATTGTCCACAAATTAACCAGCGACGGGCATATAGGTAATCACTAGAATATTAAAAAAAACCGTTTAATGCTGAATATATAAAATAAAAAGTAGTATCTTAATATTTTATCGATTTCGATCTTCTTGATGAGATTAACGCAATTTTACTAATTGCAATTATCAAAATGAAAATAAAATTAGTAAATGATTTATTTAACTTCATTTATAATTCTTTAAATCAAAATTTATAATCCTGATGTTAGGTGTACATACCTAACATCAAGATATTTAGATCATTATAATATATTTTAATTAATAAAAACAGCAGGTTTAGTCGTGACTGACTAAGTTAAGAAAAAACTCAAATTTTAGGAGGATGCAGTCAATAATCACCACGTAGGCTAAAAAACTACCTTTTCAATTTGTCAAGTTTTCGAGAATTTTATTCCCATCATCAGGACAGTTTCTAAAATGCATAAACAAAAGGCATTAACATTTTGTAATTGTATAACAAAGAAATTAGCGCCGGGAGGCACGTATAGCCGCCCATACTAAAATATGTTAATAAAAAGTTGGTAGGCAGTTCTTTTAGTTTCAATTATCTCTTTTGGAGTTACGATTTTTTAAAAATTTTAACCCCCTCCCATACACCCTTACCAACCCCCCACCCCCACCAAAAACTAATAGTCACAGTATTTTTGTGCCAAATTTGGTTAAAATCGGTTTAGCGGTTTTTGAGTTATCGTTTTACAGACGGATATTTAGGTCATTTATGAACCAAATAACACATTTTGAGTGAAATTAAAAAAACTTTTTTTTGCCGATCTTAATAGCCTACCATAGCTGTTGGTATGGTCGGCTAAAACGTCCTTTATAAAATATTGAAATGTCCTTTATAAAATATTAAAAAAAATACATATACATCTAGCGACGTTCTTCTTTAAAAAATTAATTAAAAATAAATTTCCTTTCTACCTACAGAAAATTCCAAAAAAATAATAGACTTATTTTTTAAAAGTTTTAACATCAAAACTGTTACTTCAAAACTGTGTCCATGTTTATACGAACATTTTTTCATATTTTTTGTTGACGATTCAATGAGTATTTAACAGTTTTGCCAGTTAATGACATCCAAATTTTTATATATTAAAAATATCAAGAGACAACTTTTAATAACTATTAGATGGTCTAATTTTTCTGACTTTTTTTTTAGAAAAATATTCCAGTGATAACCCATATGCACGTCCCTGATTTTTTAGCATTCATCATGGTTTTTTAGCATTAAAATAGGTTGCACTTATAGTTACTTTTACCCTTAAAATTTTATTCCTAAACGACACTTGAAAGAAAATTAATAATAAATCGAAAAAAATAAGAAAAAAAGATTTTAACCCCCTGTAGCTACGAAACAAAACAGAATTCCACCCCCCCCATGTTGATATAAAAAATAAATTCTATTTTATGTGAGGAATCACTCCGCGGGAGATAGCACATGTTTTTTTGAAACACCCTGTATATTTATATCGAGGGGTGTCTCCAAAGACATTATACTGTTGAAGTATCTCACTGAAAGATCGCATCAGTCTTACGGCAGTCGACTATAATTATACAGGGTGAGTCTTAAATAAGTGCAACTATTTTCAGGGCTGGTAGATCTCGATAAAAGAAACATATTTTCTCTTGGCCGTTTTTCAAATAAGCCCAAAATAAATGAGATATTTTACTTTGAAAATTAAAAAAAATGTCGCTTAAATTTTGAGAACCACTTTTCTTTCTTGTAAATTTAATTTACTACCTATGTTGGCAAGTAAAATTATATTTTGGCAGTACCTACATGTTTTTTTTATCCAAGTGAGACACCCCTCGGTTTAAATCCAACATTTTTAATTTTAGATTAATATAGAAAATAGAATAAAAATAAGAATTTAAATATTTTAAGGTGACAAATTAATCAAACCAAGAATTCAATCGAATTTATCGGGCATGGGTGAAATCAAATTTTTAATCGAAATACTATGTTATCCAATTAATTAAAATCATGTACTTAGTAATGAATATTTTAAAAAGGTACCTGTATTTTAAATTATTCCATAATTTTTTTAATTGTGCAGCAGTTCGCCTCACATTTATCATGGTTGCCTGTGCATTATATTCAACAGCAATTCTTTCCCACTCCTGCTGTTTTTGCTGGACTGTGTCAGCGTCATTTTTCTTATCTTCTAATAGGTTTTTGTGTTTGTCGACTAGAGTAGCCAACAACAGCTTCTCATTGTGGGTGTAGGCTGTCCTTTTACTCCCTACAATATAAAATTTGTAGAACATTTTTGAGAAAATTCTTTATAAAAACTTACCTGACTTCATATTGACAAAAGTATAAATTAAATAAAATAAAGTTTATGATCAATAAAGAAGTAAAAATACACACCACGATAGATTTCCGCAAAACAGAAAAGACATAAGCACACACACAACCAAACACAAAACTAACCACCAAAACGGACTGAAGCGAAATGACGCCGATCGATGACGACTCAAGGTACCTGAGTACGCCTCAAGATACGCATGCGCAGTTTGCCGCTTTCTTAACCAAGACCCATGTATAGTACGCATTTTGATCTTAAACCGTGCTCAAGCCTAAGATCGACTCAAGTACCGACTATAGGTACAGGCACAAACTAACTTAAACAGATGCGACACCTTATGGGAAATTTTGTGTTCAAAAAGACCTATGTTCGGAAGTGCGACGACAGGGCGGCGATACCGTCGATGAAGGCAAAATATTCGGCCAAACAAACAGCCGTGGTGACTTCAAATCGTTCCCGCACTCCCCCCTTCCCAAAGCTTCCATTTCTTTCGTTCTTTCTGGCATTTAACCTTGCCTTTGATACACCGCGCCGTCTCGTCTTGCCGTCGCAGCCGCCGCACGATTATAAAGTCAAAGCGAGATTGCCAGCTTGAACTTTTTTTATGTGAGAATTAAATGTTATATGTACTTGTATTAGCGCTTTCTCCTGGATAATAATAAATAACTATTACATGATGTTAGGAAATATCAGCTAATATTTATTTGTAAAGTATGAGAAATTTACAAATTTTAACAATCGGTTAAGATCAATACATATGTATAAAGAAAATGACGATTTCTTTAAAATTAAAAATTATATAAAATATCAGAAATATACAATTCTTAAAGAATAGGATCTTTGTTGTCAGCTTGCCGTTTGTATTTAGCTGTACTTCCAGCTGTTAATTTCAAATATTAATCTAAAGTCTATCTACTATTAGCCAGCTTAAATTATCTTTAATTATTTTTATATCCTGCTTGTTAATAGTTTTATGCACTACTATAATTTTATTTGATATTTTAAATTGATTTAAAATTTAGCAGCTGATCTTTTATATAGCAAATAGGTACTTTTATGATACAGACACGGCATATTGTTTGCATGTGCCGTGATACCGATATAGTTTATACAAATTGGTAAGTAGAATTGGCAACAGTGTCCTAGAAAAAGGATATGGGAATCTAAGATGGGAATATTGAAGGTTTTCAGAGGATTTTTAAGTCAGTTTCTTCAGTTGTTTCACATGGATATTACATACATCATTATTATTAGCTGTTTCCGATTTTAATTTTCTGTTGGGTTTTGTTGGTTTACATTTAGTTAGTTCACGGTGTTCTTAGTATTGTTTTAGTTAATTCAGCTATTCAGTTTAAGTTTCTTGTTTTGATTTTATTTAAAATGCTTTTAAAAAAGTGTGCTTTCAATGGATGAGAAAACATTTCACTATAAACTGAAGAAGATACATTTTTTAGATTTTCTAGGACTAAATTATATCAAAAACTGTGGGTGTTTTTTCCGAAAATACCTAGATTTTCTAATACGAAAAAAGTGAATTTAAATACACATACAGTTCGATCAAATAATCGACTTATTAACTACATATACTTTGTAAAAATATTATACTTCTATGCCAGGTAGTAATAAATTTTCATGCCAACTTTCACCCCTATCATCCCCGAGATGATGAATTTTCAAAAATCGTTTCTTCTACTCTATACTATTGCTTCCCAATTATACTTAAGCATATTTGGCCAAATTTTAATTCATAAATATTATGTACTTTTAAACCACATAGTAGTAACGAATTTTCATAAAATTTTGCCCTTAATTTTACCCCTTTAGGAAATGAGTTTCTAGAAAACGCTTCGTAAGTATGCCACACCGAAATATCATACTTCTATACCAAATATTAACGAATATTTACAATCATTTTTTCCCTTATTTTAAGGGACGGATTTTTTTATTGAATCCCTAGAGAAACCTTTATTGTGTAATGTTTTGAATGAACAGGTTTTTATTTTATGTTTTGCTTTATAATTGTTCAGCCCTAATTTTACCCTCCTCGGGGATGAATTTTCATAGTCGCCTCTCATATAGTCATTGCGTTACTTAAGAAACCTTTTGAAATTATTAATAACAAAATTATTGTATATTCTTCGGACGAGATTTTTACAAATTTTTATATAAATTTCCACCACTAATTTCACCTCTTTAGGGGATGAATTTACCTTTGTCAAAATATTAAACTCCCACAAACAATTTTTACGGAATGTTTGTACCGACTTTTTCCCTTTTTGGGAGATGAAATTTAGGGATAATTATAATAATTATAGTTCGTTCCAATGGAGCTGAGAGCACAGAGCGCCTATAATAAACGGAAAACGGAGGTCGGGTGTGTCAACAAATTTTTATCTCTTATATTGCAAATGTATTTATATTGCAAATGTATTTAGACTAAGAAGAAAGAAAATGTGACCCAGACCACCCTGTAATCGGAAGTATATGTATAGGAAGTGACTCCGCGGCCGGCGCCGGCTTCCACAATTCGGGAGCATAGATGCCGGCTCCGAAAATAAAAATGTTAACGTCAGAGACTAACCAACGCTAAACAAATGTAAATTAATAAAAACCAATCCAACCCCACCAAATAGCTAACCTATCCAATGCAATCAACACCCAATAACCAACTTAACCAACGCAACTAACTCCACCAAATAATCAATCTAACCTCACCAAAAAGAGTGAAAGCAACGCAATCCGTATTTTGATTGCTATTAAATATTTACAGCTTTTTTTAAAAATAAAAACAGCAGTAAAAAAATAAAAGAATTCTAGTTTGGCGTGAGATTTGAACCACGGACCTCTCGTTCACGAAGTGATGGCCTCAGTCTCAGTAATGGAGCCACAGCTGCTCTTGCAAAATTAACTATAGCTAGGCGTTACTTTCCGCCGTTCTTTCAGCCGTCAATGGAACCGGAGCCGGCAACCATTAAGGGAACCGGCGCCGGCAGCGAAGTCACTTTCTAATAATTATATAATTAGAAATTATATAATATAAAATAAGAAATACATAAAAATACCTAATAGTAAAAAACCTTTTTTAAAATGTATTAATATCTTTTAGTTATTATTAATTACTAGCGTGTACCCGCGACTAATTGTCAGCAGTGGTTTAAATAAACAAATTTGCCTAACGTTATATTAGATGACTAGCGTGTACCAGCGACTTCGTTCGCGTCGAATTAATCATTTGTAATGGTGATGATAAAGCAAAGCAAGAATTTCCATTTTCATACAAACTGGATAAAATGTTCTCACATTTATGTCCTGAGCCTCAGAAAAAAACAATATGGCGATATTATTATATAACTTGGTAATATTTGACAGGTAGTTTCATCTCGTTGGAATTTGACTTTCGAAAAATCTGTTTGCCAAAAATAATTTTTTTACGTCAAGCAGTTTAAGCAGAATCGTAGTTAATCAATTACCCAACTTTTTGGAACACCCTGTATGATTTTTTTAAAAAAATCAAAATATGTAAAAAACAAAATAAATTATGCGTGTCCAAGCGTTTTCTCGAAAGACTAACCGTTTTTTAAATATCAAATATTGTAATATTTGAGGGGCATTTTCACCCTCTTGGAATCGAGAAACCCCTCCTTATCGAATCTCTGTACCCTACAGTAAATCCGTTTACCAAAAATCAGCTTTAAACGTCAAGCAGTTTAAACAGAATCGTGATTACTCAATGGTCATATCTTATGAAACACCCTGTATAAATTTTTAAAAAATCTTAAAATATGTAAAATAACAAAACAAAATATACGTTTTTAAGAGTTTTTCCGAAAAACTCATCGGTTTTTAAATAAAAAATATTCTAATATTTGAGGGGTGGTTTCACCCCCTTAGAATTCGAGTTTCGAAAAATCCCTTCTTATCGAACCTCTACACCCTAAAGTCAATCCGTTTTCCAAAAATCAGCTTTTTACGTCAAGCGCTTTAAGCAGGATCGTGATTAATCAATGACCAGATTTTTCGAATCACTCTGTATACATTTTTAAAAAATCTTAAATTATGTAAAAAAAACAAAATAAAATATACGTGTTTAAGCGTTTTTTCGGAAACTTGACCGTTTTTTAAATAAAAAATATTTGAAGGATGGTTTCACCCCCTTGGAACTGGAATTTCGAAAAATGTCTTCTTATCGAACCTCTACACCCTAGAATCAACCTGTATGCCAAAATTGAGCTTCTTACGTTGAGTGGTTAAGAATTTTATATATGTTAGTAGGTATAGATTGTGAATGTATCAAAAATTGAAAAAAAACTAATGAAATTAAAATCATCTCTATTTGATTCCGAACTACAAAATCCTCTCTATTTTCTACACAAAGGAGGCGTGGCTTCTTAGTAAACGAATGGAGGTTACTTTGCTGGTCCGCTGTAAAATTCGCCTATATGACAAATCTAACGGAAAAATTTGCCTGGCGCATTCGCCAAAATGTAATTTTCACATTTGCATTGTTTGTCGCATCTGTTTAGGTTAGTCTGTGGTACAGGTATTAGTGTCGCAAAGCCTGTGTTGAACTATATTTATTATAATTTCTCTATCAATAAATCTCATAGAATTGGTTATCAAACCGTGTTCCCGTATATTACTTAAATACCTACAAATTTTTAAAAAAAATAAAAATGGTTTTACAGAAACTGGGGGGGGGGGGCCTAACCTCCGTGCACCCCTGCAGTTACGCCAATGCTTAAATGAAAAATCAAATGTATTAAAAAGATATAAAAGTTCGGTTGATACATTTCTTCTATGCGGTATTGCCAAATTTTGAATTAAAATTTCAAACCGCGCAAGTAGGCGTTTACGAAAAAAATGGGAATAAAAACGGCGTCAGCGATGGCTATGAAATAAAAATCGCTGTTATTTTATATGTAAATTTATATGGGAAATGTCATCGATCGTCATTTCCTAGCCAACTGGACGTCGTTTTTTCGATTATACGGTACTAAAGTTGTAATAGATTATATTTAGTTTAGACATATTATCAGTGGGATATCTGAAAGTTTTGAAAACAATTTTTTTTCCCGT